ACCTCAGGGAACTCACAGCTACCGTACAAAAATGCACGTGCAGAATAGACAGAATAGAGCTTAAAGGTGCTATGATGGAAGTCTGGATGGGGTTCAGGGAGTTAGGGCGTGGTCAGTTCTCCCTGAAGATAGCTATTGTTCATTGAGCACTTGCTATGCACTAAGCACTTTCCTTGTGTTATTTCATCTCACTCTCACCAAAACACTCTGAGGTAGGTATTATTATTATTGTTCCCATTTTATGGGTAAGGAAACTGAGGCACAGAGGCTAATCAACTTGCCTGGGGTCAGGCAACTAGAAAGTGGCAGTGCCAGGATTTAAACCCCATCAGACTCCAGAACCCGTGCTCTCATCCATGATGCTACCGCTGTGGAGGGGGCCGGGTGGGGGAGGAAAGGCGAGCAGCGGCGACACCGGAGCCAGATGCAGGACTCTGCAGGTGGGGCAGGGGCGGGGAAGGGCATGGGAGGCAGAGAACAGTCTGAATGGAGGCTGGAGGTGTGGACCTGTAGCAGCCCCCGGCCTAAGGGGGTTCTGTGCGCCTTGAGACGGGAGGCTCGGGCACCAGCCGTGCCCTTATGAGCCCTGCTAAGGTGTCTGGACCCCCCTAAACCAGCCAGGGTTGCAAACAACAGAAAACGATGGTGGCTAATTTGAGCAAAAAGGAGTTTATTGGGAGGATGCAGGGGAGTCACAGAACTCACGAGAAGAAGAGACTCAAAGGGCAGGAGTCGCGGGGCACTGGTGGGGCGCCTGCCGCGAGAACCACAGTGGGCCCTTTAGTGGGGCCCGAGAGCAGCAGCCTCGTGCACTCCCCACGATGCGCTGCTGCCACCTCCGTGAATCCTCAGACATCTCTCTTCATGTCCCTCCTCAGGTGAAGAATCTGATCAGCTTAGGTCAGGTGCCCAGGTCCTGGCTGCCGGGTCCAGGGGAGGAAGTGTCTGGCCTGTTCCTCCCACAGAGGCGAGCAGGCCTTGCAGACAGCCCGCCTGTGGGGCCAAGAAGCCGGGCAGTCCAAACCCGGCAAACGTCCACCACGCCAGCACACGGACGATGGCCAGTCATCAGAGGTTTTTGTTTTGTTTTATTGTGGTGAAATATGTAACATAAAATGTCCCATTTTAAGGATCTTAAGTCCATAGGTCAGTGGCATTAAGTACATTCACGTTGCTATGCAACCATCACCATGACCTGTCTCCAGCCCTTCATCTTCCTCTCCTGAAACCCACGCCACTGCACACTGACCCCAACCCTTCCCCCTAGCCCCTGACAACCACCGTTCCATTCTCTATGAATTCGACTGTTTTAGGTACCTCATATGAAAGGACTCATATATTGTTTGTCCTTTTGTGTCTGGCTCTTTTCACACAGCATGTCTTCAAGGTTGTAGCAAGTGCCAGAATTTCATTCCTTTCTTTCTTTCTTTTTGTTTTTTAAAGAGACAGGGTCTTCCTCTGTCATCCGGTAGCGCAATCATAGCTCACTGCAACCTCAAACTCCTGGGCCCAAGTGATCCTCTGACCTCAGCCTCCGGAGTAGCTAGGGCTACAGGTGTGTGCCATCACGCCTGGCTAACTTCAATTTTTTGTAGAGACGGGGTCTAGCTCACCATGTTGACCAGGCCGTTCATTCCTTTTAAAGGCCCAATGATATTCCACTGCACGAACGTACTACATTTTATCCATTTATCCACTGATGGACTTTTGTGTTGTTTCCACCTTTTGGCTACTGTTAAATAATAGCCTATGAACTATGAACACGGGTGTACAAATATGTCGCAATCCCTATTTTCAATTCTGTTGGGTCTTACATGCAGAGGTGGAATTATACTGAAAGATTTTAAGCAAGGGAGAAACAGGATCATATTTTGTGTCTTAGGAAATTCATCCTGGCTGCAGTGTGGACAGTTTGGGGACATGAGCAGATAAAAGGAAGGAGATCCACTAGGAGGCTAGTGCACCTGTCCAGTGGCTGTGGGGGTGGAGGGGTGCTGAGCAGGTTGGGGCTGCCCAGACAGGGTAGGTGAGGGAGGACAGAGCTGTAGCTGACCCCAGGTTCCTGGCTTGTGAGACTGGGTCAGCTGGCGGTGACGCTAATGGGATAGAGAGTACAGGAGTAGGCAAGCTGTTGGATAAGTAGTTTGAGATGACTTCTGAGTTGAGATACAGTTCTCTGAGGCTGTTTTAGGTACTGATTTGTAGCTCAGGGCAGTTTTGCGTTGTAAATAAAGACTGACAAGTCTTGAGCAAGGAAGCAGCCCAGAGAGCCTGAGGTCATCAGCAAGAGCAAGCAGGTTGGAAGGGAGGGTCCAGCACTGAAATTGGGTGTCATGACATTTCAGGGGAACCCAAGAAAAAGGAGCCAGCAATGTCATGGCCCCAAGGAGGGTACCCCTGGCCCAGGCAGCCGAGGCCTGAGTCTGGTGCATTCGGCATTAAGAGATCAATGGTTACCTCTGTCGAGCAGTAAATGGAATGATAAGGGCACCAGGAATAAATTCAAAGGAAGCAAATGGCAACTTGAGAATGTTCTTTCAAGGAGCTTAACCTTAAAAGGAAGGAGCAATGGTAGTAGCTAACAACAGATGCTGGTCAAAACTTTTGGTTGTTGTTTTCAACAATAAAATGAACATAAAGCATTCAGGACTTGGAGGAAAAAGGGGAGCAAGGTCTCAGAGACGAAAGATTTGATCAAAAGCCAGTGGAAAGGTTGGCTTTGAGAAGGGCCCATGTCCTCTGGTGGGGATGGAGGTGGAAGTGGATAGGTCTGGGGAGAATTTAATGGCCTTGACTTGTTTGGACTAGGAGGTGAGGATGAGATGGTGGGAGGCTAGTTTATGCCACCTGCGTGCATGTTCCTAGGCTTTACCTCAGATCACGTGAAAGAATTTCTAGAAATAAGCATCTTTGACAAGCTCCCTAGGAGGTCCTGCAGCACCCACCACTGTACAGCATCGTCTGGGCTCAAAGGAGCCTGAAAGGGAAGGGGGAAGAAGGGCTGGACTCAGGAAGGCATTTGGTCCCCAGGCATCTCCCCTGGGCAGTAGCCTCACCCCAGACCTGATTTCTTTCCTCCTAGAACAGGAGCGGGTGAGACTCACCTTGAGGTCTCCATTTCAGGCAGCCCTGCCTTGGAGGGAGCAGATGGGTGACTGGACAGAAAAAATAGACATGGCGGGGGGGGGCAGTGATCTACCACAGGGCAACTAGAGTGAGGCCAGGCTGACAGGCCCTGGACAAAGGGACAACCCTGGTGACACAGCACGAAGAAGGCTTGGTATCCTGGGCCTCACACCCTCTGCTCTGCCTTTGACCCAATAAAAGAAACACAGTCTACAAATAGGCAGAAACTCTTTAATCAGGATTTTTAAAAAAAATTTTAAATGAAATCCTAATTTTTCCTTAAACTGTACATTCTTAGTTCCTCAGAGAGAGAGAACAGTTTGCAGTGGTGATATCAACTCAGCATCATCTGGCTACTTCTGATTCTGCAGGACATATTTCCCAGAGTTCTGCCCTGCCAGCAAGTGAGGGTAAGAGTTCTTCAGGTGTGGTCCAGCTCAAGGACATCTGGGCATATCCTGGCAAGGCAGCTTGCTTGCAGCGGCTGACAAAGCACGAAGCACTGAGCAGATAGCCTTGCAGAGGGTTTCATGAGAGCCTACCAGGCCTGCACCATTTCATCCCAGTGCCCTGACCCGGCGCTGTTGTTCCCCAGCCCCTCTGCACTCCCCTTAAAGTCTGTCTCCATGAACTTGACATCCAAAGGTGCAACAGCCTGGTGTATGATGGGAGTGTGGTGGGCAGGTCAGCCTTTGAACCACACCTTGTACCAGTATTGAGAACAGAAAAATGTGGAGAAAATTCCCCGGAGACGATGAGATGCATCTCCCACCCTTCAACTCCTAGCACCTACCTCAAGTAGCGTTCTCAGAGTGAGAGGACAATAGGAGGCCAAAAATTAAAATTGCTGTCAATTCCTGCTGCTTTCTAGTGAGAAAAGCTTCTTAGAACTTTACAAGTGTAGTTGCAAAATGCAAGTAGGACTGGGACCCTTCAACCCACAATTTTTTCTTCTAGGGCCTAGTAGACTCTGTGCACCTTATTTTGTAAGAAATGGGTGTGGGTGACAAGATGGGGTACCATCTGCCCCTGCAGCAGAGTGGCAAGGCCCCAGCCTGGGCCCTGTGCAGGTGGCCACCCCAGAAGTGTGACCCTCAGGAGCCCACCGCACCTGGTGGCCCATCCTGAAATGCACCCTTTTTGCCCCAAGCAACCTGAGCTCTATCAGCCCGGCGTTTACCAAAGATCCCAACAGAACGCAGAACTGTAACACACGGCTTCTAGGTAGTAAACGCTTGTGGCCTGAGACCCAACTAAGGCTTCCCTCCCTCCTTCAAAATAGATTTTACATGTTGAATGTGCAGCTTCTTCCTCAAAGATGGAACTGTCCCCCAGCCCATGAATGTTCTCCTGGGCCATCTACAGAATCTACAAGGAAACCCACAGAACCCAAAGCCTCTTTACATGGATGGGCTTGTGGCTAGGAACCAAGCCACCAACAGAAGGCAACTCAGGAGGAGGCTGGCTCTGCCCCGGGGCCTGTTTCTGTTGGGGCTGGTTCAGGGCAGCCACCCTTCCCGAGAGCAGAGGTGCCCTCTCACCTCCATTCCTCATCTCTTTAACCTCTTCTGGCTGGGCCAGTGGTTCTGCTCCCCAGTCTGTGGCCCAACTGGAAACTGGCTGCACTACCTTGGGGAGGTAGGAAGGAGAGGATAACTGGAGACAGGACACCAGTGGGTAGCCAGGTGGCCCCATTTCCTCAAATAGAGATGGCTGTCGGTGCTGCACAAACCCTCAGAGGTGGCCAGGCCTCACATGCGGCAACAGCACATGCACAGGTAACAAGGCTGGGGGAGGGGATCCCGAGTATGCTCTCCACAGAGGGGGCTATATACAAGGAGAGGGGAGTCTGGCCAGGTGGACCCCACCGCATCTCATTCAACCAGGAGATCAAACTGCTCAGCAGCTTCAAACTCGGCATTCATGGCCGCAGCCCACTCATCCAGCTCTGACTTCTGGGGGAAGAGAAATGGGAGGCAGGTGAGGAGGGGGGACACAGTGGCTGGAGCATCTCACCCATACCCTACAGGTGCTACCTATCCCCCAAAAGTGCCAGAGCTGAGCACCTGACCCTCACTCACCAGGATCTCGGGCACCTTCTTCTTTCGTTTCTGTTTCACGACTGGAGGCGAGATTCCAGGGAGAGTCGTGTCTGGGGCCCAAGGCTTCTCAGGGACCCTGGGGACCTCGCTTGACTTTGAACATACCACAGGCGAGACTCCTGACAAATCTTCTGCCCCTAGCAGCCCCTCAAAGCCAAAGCAGGAGCGGCGGCCCGGGGTGGAGGTGGAGGCAGAGCCCAGGGTCTCCAGCCGACTGTAGGATCGCCTGACTTTCTTAGACATTTCCACATCCCTGGCATCCAGGCCTCCTTCTCTAGAGCTGGACTCGGCGTTTGGGCTGTGCACAGGAGTGGTGGCTGGGGTGAGTGGGACGCTATGGATCTTGAAAAGGTCCTCCTTAGCAGGCTCCCTGTTAGGAGGGTTGTTTTCTTTCTCCAAGAAAAAAGAAATCTGCAACACAACAGAAGACAGAACGACTTTCTGTTACTTAGCAGGAATACATGCTTCCAGAAAAGCCCAGGATTTAGGGTGGAAAGACAGACCCATAGGACAAACACTTTAAACGAAAAGAGACAAATCAGCCCCTGAAAGAGATGTGGAGAAGAGGAAAAAACAATCTGTCATTGCTTCTGAGGTATCTACTTTTGTGACACAAAAAGACTTGCCATCATCTGTTGGTGCTGTCAGCTGTTTCCAAAATGTGCCCAGCACCCAGTCACCTCTGAGATGCGAGCCCCTACTATGCATCTTCTAGAACAGCTCGGTGACCTCTGGATTGCTCTCCCTGCTTCCGCCCTTGCCCTCTACAGTCTGTCTGCCACACAGCTGATGAGCATTGTCCTAAGACATCCAGTCAATAAGTACTTATTGGCACTTGTCCTGTGCCAGGCACTGGGAGTACAGCTGGGAATAAATCAGAGAAAACCCCTGCTGACACGGAGCTTCCATTCCGGGGAAAACAGACAATAAGGAAAACCATGTATTATGTTAGAGGTATGAAGTGCTACAGAAAAAAACAGAACAGGATAGAGTATTGGGGTTGGGTTAGAATTTTAAGTAGGTGAAGGTCAATGTTTGGCCTCACTGAGATGACATTCAAGCTACAATTTGAAGGAGGTGAGGGAGTGACTCGTGGACATCTGGAGGAAAAGTGTTCTAGGCAGCAGGAACAGAGGGTGCAAAAGCCCTCAGGCTGAAGTCTGCCCGTCAGGGTCAAGGAAGGAGGAGGCCAGTGCGGCCAAACTGAAAGGAAGTAAGGGGAGAGGAACTGAAGATGAGGTTCAAGCAGTAATGGGCGGCATTACAGGGCACTCTATAGGCCACTGACAGGGCTTTTTGCTGAGGGACCAAGAGAGCCACCGCAAGCCTTTGCCCGGGAAAGGTACAATCTGACATGTGCGTTAGAGGCTCACACGTTGTTCCTCATGATTCCACTCTCAGCTCACACTCTGCTTCCTCAAGGAGGCCACCACCTACCAGCCCCTCTTCACCTTTGCTAGTTACTCTGTCACGTGACCTCTTTCATTTCCTGCACAGCACCATTGCTGTCTGATTTTGGCTGGTCCCCTGGTTAACTGTCACCCTGACTAGGATGTGAGCTCCCGAGAGCAGGGATCTTGATCTGTCTGACCAACCTTACCCATGCCTAGCACCTACAGCAGAGCCCTGCATGTCACAGGTGCTCAGTAAGTAGTCACTGAACTAACGCACACTTGGCACTGAGCTTTCTGGTGGACAAACAAGAGGGGAAATGGGGCAAATTCAATGACTCTTGTGGTCTAATACAAGGAAGTACATCAGTTATCAAGAGAGACATTTCCTGGCTATAAGCTCTGGAGAATCCACCGCTTGGGTCTTAGGAAAAGGGATGCTGAATGGAATGGGGGCCACCCCTGACTACTTCCTCATCCCGTACAGTCAAGCAGTCACCCAGGTCCTTGAAGCTTTATCCTGCTCGATGTCTCATGAATCTATCAGTTAACCAAGAAGAATGAGTGGCCATCTTGGAGAGGCAGAAATCCCTGCCCTCAAAGGACTTATGTTCTTAGAGGGGAGAGAAAATCAACAAACAAGAAAACACTGTCAGATATTGGTAAGGCCTAAGGAGAATTACACAGAGAAATGTGACAGTGATAGGGTAAGAGTAGTTAGGGAAGGCCTCTGGGAGGAGGGTCCTTCTGAGCTCGGTCCTGTGTAATGGGACAGTGATGTGGAGGGGACTGTCCCTCCAGGGAAGAGCAGCGTCGCCTTGCCATTACCTTAGCTCAGGTGCACAGACACACCACACTGCTGTTCCCCAAACCTCATGATTTCTCTTCGGACTCTAGATCTCTGCACATGGCTTCCTTTACCTGGAACACCTCTGCATGTCTTTAAAGACTCAGTTTCTTTTTTTTTTTTGAGACAGAGTCTCACTCTGTTGCCCTGGGTAGAGTGCAATGGTGCCATTGTAGCTCACTGCAACCTCAAACTCCTGGGGCTCAAGCAATCCTCCTGCCTCAGCCTCCTGAGTAGCTGGGACTACTGGCACATGCCAACATGCCCAGCTAATTTTTTCTATTTTTAGTAGAGACGGGGTCTCACTCTTGCTCAGACTGGTGTCAAACTCCTGATCTGAAGAGATCCTCCTGCCTCAGCCTCCTAGAGTGATAGGATTATAGGCATGAGCCACTGTGCCCGGCCTAAAGACTCAGTTTAAATGTTTCCTCTTCAGTGAAACATTCACTGAGTTAGGTACCATCATAGCACCTAGTATTTCCTCGTTGCAGCACCCAGTACACTATGTTGTAATCACTTGCTCATTTGTTTTTCTTCTCACTTGACTCTAAACCCCATCAGCTCTTCAAAGAAGTTAGCATTTCTCATTCATTACATCTTCAGATTTTCTGTTAAGGAAACATCCTTGATAATAACCTCTGCTAAAACTATAAAAATGTCATATTAAGTGACTTATCTTAGAACCACCATAAAAACCAAGGGCAAAATGGATTCGAAAGAAGACAGAGTACCTGTAGTTAGGACACAGCTCAGCTTTCAAAGGAAGCTCTAAGGAGAATGGCGGAATACACAAGGTATAAAGAGCCGAATGCATTAAGACTGCAGGGAGTAATCAACACTGGCAATGCATGCCGATGTTTCACGCTGCTGCAAAACAGCTCCCCGGGCAGATATGAGAGCTGCCAGCTCTAGGGTTCCACTCAACCTTATTCCACTCAACTAGGCAGATGAAAGTGAACTCACCCTAGGGCTCCTGCGAGGCGAGTGGGCAGCTGGGACCTGTGGGGACAATATCAATTGATTACATAGCTAGCTCCCAGTTTTGCTCCCCTACCACAACCTCCCCACCCACCTTAGCCCTTACCTCTACAGCATGGGCCACGATCTTCTTCAAGACGATGGGCTTTCTGACTGGAGCCTCCTGGGGTGGCTGGAGAAGAGGAGTGAACATGAGCTCCACATTAGTCCAGGGACCTCTAGGGAAGGAACTGAGAAACCCTGGGCTCACCTTCGGCCAGATTTCAGGGAGGATGCTCGGGAGATCAGAGCCTGATTTCCGCTGGGATCTCCGCAAAGACTTAGAAGGAGATGGGGACCTGGGCCCTGGAAAGAGAAAAAAATTAAGAGGCAGAAGTGGAATCTAGGCCCTAGAGCCTAGAAAACAGGTTCTAGAGAGAGCGAGAAACTTCCCAAATAAGCCCTTTAGGGGCGCCTCCTCCGGCGGGGGCGGGGCGGGGGGGAGGGCCATTCTTCACAGTACTGCGTCCCCCAAACGGCTCGGCCCCATCTCTCCCGCGCGCTCCTGCTCACCGGAGCGCTGAGCGGCCCCTCCGGACCGCGTTCGCCTCCCAGACATAGCTAGTCTCGACCTCCTCCTGCGCCGCCGGCCCCAGTGCGAACCAACCCGGAGGGCCGCCTGACTCAGGAAACGTTCGAATTACCCGCCCTGCAGGGGAGGAAGCGGAAGTGACGTAGGGCAGGGGGCCGCTCCGCCGGATTACGACGCCCCCGCCGACACCCGTCTTCACTTCTACCGCCACAGAGGCGTGGCCCAGTGGCGCGCTGGCGTCATCAGCGCGCGCCGCACCCGGAAGAGACGTGGCAGCGGAGGGATAATCGGAACAGCCGGGGCTGAACAGGACCGGGCGGGAGAATCGGAGAGTGCAGTCTCTGGCTTTCTGCGCCTCGAACCATCTCTCGCGCCGGTCGGGACCGGTGCCGCGGCCGATCAGTAACACGGAGACTGGGGTTTGTAGAAAGGGGGCGGGGCCTGGAGGGGGTGGGGCTCAGGAGGGACCCTGGGGGCGGGACCGGTGGTATCAGGGCGTCGCTGATGGAGGTGCCGGGCCGGGGGAGGGATCCAGGAGGAATGTGGGGTCACGGGAGGCGGGGTTTATGCAGGGGGCGTGACCCGGCATAGGGAGGGGCGGTGGGCAGGAATTTGGGGTCAAGGCTAATATGAGAGGTGTCTAAGGGAGTTTAAGAGTGGAAACGAATTGGGCCACCAGAACCTGGCTTCCTACCAAATTAGGCCCCTTCCCCAGGGTCGACCATGGGGCTTTGCAAGTGCCCCAAGAGAAAGGTGACCAGCCTGTTCTGCTTTGAACATCGGGTCAACGTCTGCGAGCACTGCCTGACAGTCAATCACGCCAAGGTGGGACCTTCATAGGAGCAACTGAGCGGGGCATTGGGTGGGCAGGCGGTATTGACTCCTCCAAATCCATGAGAGGCCCGGCAATGGAATGTAAGGTCCACGTGGGCAAGGCCTTGGTTTATTTTGTTCAGTGCTTTATTCCCAGCCCCAAGAACAGAGTCTGACAAACAGTATGTGCTCAATAAATGTTTATTGATTGAACAAACAAAAGGATGAGTGTCCTCTGCGTCGAGAGAAAAAGAGGCAGCTGGGCCTTGGGGTGATAGGCTGTGGAACCCCTGCACTAGTTGTGATATCTCTCTCCCACTCCAGTGCATCGTCCACTCCTACCTGAATTGGCTCCAAGATAGCGAGTACAACCCTAATTGCCGCCTGTGCGACACGCCCCTGGCCAGCCGAGAGACGACCCGCCTCATCTGCTATGGTGAGGCCTTGGCACCTTGAGGGTATCAGGGACACCTCAGGGCCCAGCTTGGTGACTGGTTTCCAGGCCTTCCTCAAACAGCAGGACAGTGAGTCTCCCAAGTCTGAGAGGCCAGAGCCCCATATCCTAGTCCTGTGAAGTTACTTACCTCCTGTGTAAGCTCATGCAAGTCATTTTCCCTTTCTAGGCTTCCGTGTCTTTCCTAAAAATTAAAACTCCTAGTTACTGCCCCGCAGATCTTAGAGGGTTGAGTGAGAGCCAGTCAAGCTTGTGGGTGTGGTTGTGGCTCTGGCTGTGAACACTACCTGGCCAGACCAGGGCTTTCAGATATTCAGGATCCCTTACTTATTGGAAGACTAAACAGAGAGGAAATGAGTTTCCCCTGTTGAAGTTAGCTAAAAGAAGTCAGCAGACATATGTGTCATCACTGGAACCTGAGTCTGGCATAAGAGCCTCAGCTCCAGTTTTTGAGAGAGTTAGTGCAAAAGACGCAGCTCTACAGGTATCTCTCATAACAAGTGAGTGTGTGCTTGCATGAATCTAACGCACATTGTGTTTACGCGAGTATGTTCATTAGTACTTGTGGGTGGGTGAATGAGTAAATGTATGTATATGAACATATGAACATAGTATGTTGTGTGAGTACAAAGGGAATACATGGTTGAGGGTGCTTGAGTGTTAGCAAACATGTGAGTGTATAGATGTGTATATGTGAGGACTAGTGTGCCCGTAAGTGTAGATATAGGGAATGGCCCTTGTTTGATTACGTCTTTATAAGCACACGTATATTTGTGCCCATGGATGTGTGCAAGCTTATGTGTGTCTGTGTGTTTCTCTAGGTACCTTTTCTGAAACTCTTCTTTAATAGCCATTAGCCCAAAGAGTGTGGTGAGTGCAGGCCCAGAGAGGACTCGCTGAAAGAGGAGATGGCATTTTCTTCCCACCCAACCCCACCTCCCTATGGGCTGGGCAGCTTGGTACCATTTGCCTTGACTTAGTCAAATGGTGGTAGCCAAGAAGGCTGAAGTCTTGGGGAACACTGATAGAAACAGACGGGGGGTGGGTGAGGAGGGAGAGGAGAAGGCTCTGGCATACACATGTGCGTCCATACATCCCTGCAGTGGTCTGGGCTGTTGCTGGGTTAGGAGCCCTCAGTGTCTTCTTCCTCATGTCTTTTCTCCCCCATCTCACGGGCCCTAAGATATCTTTCACTGGGCCTGCATCAATGAACGTGCCGCTCAGCTACCCCAAAACACTGCGCCTGCTGGCTACCAGTGTCCCATCTGCAATGGCCCCATCTTTCCACCAAACAACCTGGATGGTCCTGTGGTTTCTGCACTGAAAGAAAAGCTGGCCACAGTCAACTGGGCCCGGGCAGGACTGGGCCTCCCTCTGGTGAGAGTCTTTGTCTGTCTGTCTGACCATCTGTCTGCCCAGGGCTCCACCTCAGCCAGATGGGTGGGTGGGCACAGTACTGGGCAGGCTGGTGACATAGGTTCCTTCCTCCAGATTGATGAGGTGGTGAGTCCAGAGCCCCAGCCCCTCGACACTTCCGATTTCTCTGACTGGTCAAGCTTTAATGGTAAGTGGTGGCTTCCACTTGCTGTTTGAGCCTGCTGTTCCCTGCTCTGCTGACAGCTCTCTCTCTACCCACAGCCAGCAGTGCCTCCAGACCAGAGGAGATAGACAGCGCCTCTGCTGCCCCAGCCTTCTACAGCCAGGCGCCCCGGCCCCCTGCTTCCCCAGGCCGGCCCGAGCAGCACACGGTGATCCACATGGGCAATCCCGAGCCCTTGACTCACGGTGAGCCGGGGGATTATCCAGGCCAGAGAAAGGTAGACAGGAGGTGGGATGGTTCATATGGAGGGAGCTAAAGGATCCAGAGACCCACCTGGGGGGGACTCTTCTCCACTCCAAGCACAGGCATTAGCTTCCCCCCAATTCTGAGATGGGCTGTCAGACTGGGGAGGGCAGGAGATCCCCTGCCCTTCTGCAAAGGAGCCAGTTTCCCTGAGTCTGTTGACATTAGTGGCTCCACCTTACAGCCCCGAGGAAGGTATATGACACACGGGATGATGACCGGGCACTGGGCCTTCATGAGGATTGTGACGATGACAAGTACCGTCGCCGGCCTGCCCTGGGCTGGCTGGCCCAGCTGCTCAGGTACACGGGGTCAGGCAGGGCAGGATGCTAGGAAGGGGAGGAGAGGGAGTGAGAGCCAGAGGCCCTGGGAGGGACAGTTTCATGACGAAAGGAGCTTGTTCTTGGCAATAAGGGTATCTGGGGCAGGGGCTGTGAAGTAGGCCTCAGCTGGGCAGTCGAAACCTTGGTATACCCCTCTCTGGGGCTGTCTCTTTGCCTCCTTCGTAGCAGCTTTGGACTCAGACTCTTTGAGACCCCTTCCTGCTTTGACACCCCCTAATCTTTGAAACTCTCCCCCATGCCTGACACTTCTTGGTTTCCAGAACACAGTCCTGTGCCTCATCTGGTTTGAGCTGCACAGTAACCCTATACAGTGGCAGGTGCAGAAGTGATCATCCCCATGGCAAAGACGAGGAAACTGAAGCTCAGGGGTGGTGACTAGGGCTCTTCTCCAGGCATGGGGGCCACCAAGGGCTGAGGGCCTGACCTGACTTTCCCCTCGTCCCTCCCAGGAGCCGGGCTGGGTCTCGTAAGCGGCCACTGACCCTGCTCCAGCGGGCGGGGCTGCTGCTACTGTTGGGGCTGCTGGGCTTCCTGGCCCTCCTTGCCCTCATGTCTCGCCTGGGCCGGGCTGCGGCTGACAGCGATCCCAACCTGGACCCGCTCATGAACCCTCACATCCGTGTGGGGCCTTCCTGAGCCCTGGCTTGTGGCTGGGCCAGCCTAGGACCTGGGGTCCCGCGGAGGGGAGGTGGGGAGGCCTGGGGGCTCCTCTTCTGTGCTCCTCACCCTCAGGCCTGAGACACTAAGATCCCAGGCCCAAGCCGAGTCCACCAGAGAGGCTGTAGGCTGGGCCTGGGGTCCCTGTAGGTCAAGCATTTGTCTTGACCTGCTTCCCCGGGGTCTCCAGCCTCCCGCCCCCACACCATGAAGGAGCTGACAGGTGGAAATAAACAACAGACTTTATTAAAACACCCAAAGCAGCCTTTTCCTTCTTCCTCCTCAGCCCTGTCCCCAGGCCCCAGACCTCAGTGGTTCTCCTCCCGGTAGTGGATGGCCAGAAACTCCAGAGACAGGCGGTTGAAGAATATGGCTCCATTGAGCACTAGGCAGAGGAGAGAGCCCCCATCAGCCCTGGTAGCCTTCCTTGCCTCCTCCTTGCCACATCTCAGGGTTCCAAAACTCCCTCTCCCCTTAGCATCCCCTCTACTCTCGTCACTCACTCAGGATGGTCAGGGCAAAGCACCGGAGTAACTTGTTTTCCATCATCTCCGAGTAAAGTGACCCCATGGCAGCCCAGCAGATGCTGATCACCTGAGAGAACTGTAGGCCATGTGTTGGGAGAAGGGCCCAACACAAAAGTGCAGTTTCCATCAGCCCCTCTGGCCTCCCCCAGCTAGCCCTTGAGTCCCTGCCTTGGGCCTACCATCAGGACGACCGTGTAGTGGAAGCTCATACGCTCATAATGGTGGGTGACACACAAGTTGTGCACGTCGCTGGCAAAGACACCCAGGTGTATGAGGAAAAGCATCAGCGCAGCCATGGTGAGCATCATTCCCTGAGGAAAGAAGAGCACAGCTAAGCGGTCCTGCCACCGCATCGCACCTAGAGCACAGACACACGTTAGATGCGAGCAAGCAGGCACCGCCTGGGAAAAGCAGCAGAGCCCTGCAGTTCTAGAGTGCCCAGTCTAGATTGGGATTCTAGAACCAGGGGGACAGTGGAGGAGACAAGATTCTAGAACACAGGCTGATTCCAGCCAACACAAGAATGTCTCATGGATGGCCAGGAATGCTTGGCCATCCATGGCGTGGGCAAAAGGTGCAGACCAGTGGGGGCCCCTGGCATTGTTGAACAGACAGCTCCCTCATCATCCCACCCCTCTCTCTGGATACTTTTGGGTGCATGTCAACTGTCTTAGAGAGCAGGTCATGTGGGCATGTTCTACAGATGAACTGTGGCTCAGAAAAGTTGAGGGGCATGTTCTAGATGTTCTAGATTTAAGCAGATGAGAGATTGGGACCAAGATGTGTAGCTGGAAGGTATTCCCAGGTGAGGTGGGGGCCTGGGCTGGATCCCAAGTTCCAAGTATTTGCACCCCCTATGATGGAGAGGAACCTAAGGGAAGGGCAGGACAGTGGATTCACCAAAGCTGTCCTGGGACCTTCCCTATCCTCTCCTCACATATAGTCCAGAGTTCACCTGGCTCCTGTATCCTCTCCCCAGATGTTCTTACAGGGCCCACTGCTGATCAGCTTTCCCCTCTCTGCCACCTTGTGTGTTGCTCAAGAGCATTTTCAACCCATTGCTGTCATCATTCCAAGAGTCCCATGAGAAAGCTGGGCGCAGGTGGCATAAATCCTATTTTACACTTGTGTTAAGGCACAGAGAGGGATTGTCTCACTCAAGCTATCACAGCCAGTGAGTGAGAGAGTCAGTACTGAACCTAAGATCCGATTTTACCTGAGGCTGTGTTGCCCCAGCAGGGATAGATGCAAGCCAGGAAGTTTTCTCCATCACATAAGAGGTGAGATCTCCAGGGCTGTCAACAAAATAAGCCAGAAAAACAGCCAGAAATGGTGTGGAGTAACATGCAGGCTCCCAGGGATTGAAGTAGGAGAAGAGAAGGGAGGAAGAGAGGACTTGGTGTTGAACTCAGTCACCCCATTGCCCCCTGCTCAACTGTGTACCCCAAAAGTTCTCAGGTCAGGGAACCCAAAGTCTTCTGCCTCTAAGCAGGATTAAAGCCTGCCCCCATCATCCACGCTTGCTGCCCAGTCTGTCACCAATCACAACAGTTCTTCAGACTCCCACCCTAACCACATTAAAGGGGTGATGCCCCAATGCCCAGCTGTGATCTCCCTGTTGAAACAATTACTAGTTCCTCAGTTCTCCTTTGAATAACAAATGAACTTTTATACATTAAAATTCCTAGCTTGATGCCATTTAAAAAATTATCCAACTAACATATGAATATGTTCTGTTAAAAGATTTGCATAAAGCACAAGCATACAAGGAAAATGTAACAGTCTCCCTCCTGTACCCCCACTCCTACAGAGGTAACTACCTCTTCGCCAGTTTGATGAGTCAGCATTTTTTGGGTCCCTTCTTTATGTAACTTCATACATCTAGATGTACATATATATGCATAATTTTTGAAACACTTTAAAAATTCATACCATATGTATTATCAAAGTAATTTTCAAAAAGTTAAAAATACGACATCTAAATATACAATGAACATGTAACTAAGATTTATTAACTCATCAGTGAGGGGGTTCCCCCTAAGTAAGCTGGTAAGGCACCTTGAGGAGCTGATGTGGATAGGCATTTAAAGAGGAATGTTAGAATATGATTATTAGGTCAGATACAAAACTGGTTGATGTCCTACAGGACAATAAAGGTTATAACCTTTGAGGGTACTTTTTCTGCTGAATATAAGTGTTTTAAATCTCTCCTGGACAATATCTACTTATAATTTCAAAGTCTACTTACCTTAATACCAAAATCAAACAACTGCATATTCCTGTGGGTAGTTAAATAATCCTTGGGTGGGCTTGTGAAACAATGCCCCAGTATGACATTAAAAGAACATGCTACACTCTTGGTCTTCCAATTTTTGGATAATTTTTCTTAACAGTATTCTGTAACTTTTAAAAAATTTATAAATTACTTGGAGTAGATCTAAATCTTTATATTCTTTTTTTTTTCCATTTTCTTAAGAAAATGAAAACTGGTGACAGCTTCATAGGCTGAAACCTTCATGTGTGTTTTGTAAACAGTTTCTAAACATTCCACTGATTCAGAGGTCAGCAAACTTTTTCTGTAAAAGAACAGATAGTAAATGTTTTAGGTTTTGCAGGCCATGTGGTCTCTGTGGCAACTACTCAACTCTGCTGTTGTAGTGCAAAAACAGCCATAGATAATATGTAAGCAAATGGGCATGGCTGTAGTCCAATAAAAACTTCGTTTATGGACACTGAAATGAATTTCATATAATTTGCAAGTGTCATTAAATGTTATTTTTTCTCAACCGTTTAAAAATAAAAAATAAAAAAATTCCAGTTCACAAATCACACAAAAACAGGGAGTGGGCTGTTTTTGTCCTGCAGGACCGGGCAATGAATAATTAAACCATTGGGTTTTTCCATTCCAAGCCTCCTCCTACCAGTCCATCATAAGCAATGTTTCAAGGACCATGTTGATGAACAAAGTCTTCTCTTTTTCCTCCATTCCAACTCATTGTGTCCCAATCAAAACTCCAAGTCATTCCCTCTCCTCTTGAACTCTTGACCTTTGTGAACTGCACCTTTGTTCAAGTCAGAAACCTGGGAATTATCCTCAACATCTCTCCACTCAACCCTTCAGCATATCCCATCAGTCACTTAAGATGTACCGAGTCTGTCTTCTAAGCACGACATAATAGGGGTTCTCAAATGTAAATGTACACCAGAATAACTTGGGGACTTTTAAAAAAGAAAATGGGTCAGAGCCCAGGCTTACAACTCGCCACTGGTGATTCTGAAGGCAATTGTGATGCATGCGAGAGGAACAGGCCTTGAGAAGCACTGCGCTAGTGGCACTGTGCGGGGTAGTGCACATGCATTTAATCCTCGCAGCCCCCCTGTGAAGTATGTACCCCAATTTTAGGAATGGGGACAACTGAGTCGATGCCCAGTTAACGAGGCAGTGGCGGGATCCCAGGCACACTCTGGCCCCACGTCCTGCCTCCGTCCACTGCTTCTGGGCAGCTTGCCTATGGGGGGTGCAGGGTTGGGGAGCCACGACCCGCCCCTCTTCTGGGAGGGCCGCATCCGACGCAGTTCCACAAAATCCTTCCATGCAGGAAACGGGGAACTCAGGGCTCTCCCGGAACCTCTTCACTCGGGGAGGACAGGAGCGGGGGAACTCTAGTCTCGAAAGACCAAGGCTACAGGGGGACGTTTCACCTGAAGGACTGCCTCGTTTCAACAACAACTTTATGGCTCCCGGAAGTACCTCCTCCCCATCCCCTTCCTAGCCTCACTCCCGTGGGCTGCGGTTGGAGCGATGGCTGCTGGGCCAGTCCACGGGTCTGGACCTGGGGACTCCCCGGAGGGGCCCGAGGCGGAGGCTCCAGAGCGTCGGCGGAAGGCGCACGGGATGCTGAAGCTTTACTACGGCCTCTCGGAGGGGGAAGCGGCCGGGCGCCCCGCGGGACCTGACCCCCTGGACCCGACTGATCTCAATGGAGCGCACTTCGACCCGGAAGTGTATCTGGACAAGGTGTGTGTGTGTGTGTGTGTGTGTGTGTGTGTGTGTGTGTGTGTGTATGTGTGTGTGTGTAAGTGTAACCAGGCCCCGATATGTTGCACCCGCAGATCATGCCTCCGACCTTGTGAGGTGTTCATAAGAGGAGGACGACCCTCGGCCAGGCAGTAGGGGGCAGAGCTGGAGTCTAAGGGGGCGTGGGGTGTGGGTAGGTTTGAACTGGCCTGAGGTGATGTGAGATCTGAGGTCTCCTGGGCTGATGTTGTGATAGGCCCGGGGTAGGGGGCGTGACCCAGGCGCTGACTGGCGCGTGGCTGGGCATAGGCTGAGCCTGAGGGTTTCAAATGCTGACAGACCCCAAAGAGGGTCGAACGTAGTAACCCCTGAGGTATGCCGCTTGTAGGACCCATGTATGGAATTCCTAACAGGGGTCGGGGCAGGCTTTCTTGCACCAAAAGACTATCAGTTGGGGGCAAGGTTGGGGGACATGAGTGCCCCCTGACCTGAATACTAACCACCCAACTTCTCCAGCTGCGGAGAGAGTGCCCCCTGGCCCAGCTGATGGACAGTGAGACGGACATGGTGCGGCAGATCCGGGCTCTAGACAGCGACATGCAGACCCTGGTCTATGAGAACTACAACAAGTTCATCTCAGCCACAGGTGATCCTCACTGGGACACGCAGTCTCACATCCCCCATTCCTCCCTTGGTGCTAAGAAAACCACAGGGGATTTGGGGAAAGGAGACCCAGATTCCACTCCTGCCCTCACATTATTCCACTCTCACCTGCCCCTCTCTGAGCCATCGCGGTCAGACTACCATAGACTACCCTCTGCTCTCAGAGGGTTAAGAACCAAAGAGGAGAAAGGACAAAATGAAATGAATTTATCTGAAGCACTTAATAGAATTCCTGACACCAAGGAGGCCTCAGTAAGGTTCTCTTATTTGTGGTAGCTTTCATCTCTGATCCAGGTCTACCTTGAGGGTGGTCTTGTCATTCCCTTCCTATCTTCCTCCCTCCTTCCCCCACCATCCCTCCCTCCTTCTTTTCCTCCTTCCTTCTCTCCCTAATTAAGCAAAGAGAGAAAATTTATGACATTAAGGAACACAAAGATCATGTAAAGGCTTGTTTCTTTCTGTTCCCTTTCTTCTCTAGTACTAGACAATGTTCAGCTAGCTAGCATCGACATCAGTGCATTAAGGAAATGTACTGCTCAGACTTTTGTAATAATTTTGGACCCACATGTGCTTAGTCCAGGAGGCAGATCTAAAGGGTTTGCCTGCAGTCCATGGAATGTTCTGTGAGCATCTCTGGGGTTGTATTCTGCATCTGTTACTTCCCTAGTGGAA